CCCCCCCCCCCCCCAGCAGTCCGCCTCCGAGCTCACCGACAGCCTGTGCTGTGCCCGCAGCCTGCCACATCCTGGAGTGTCCCGAAGGGCTTGCTCAGGACGTCATCAGCACCATCGGCCAGGCCTTCGAGCTGCGCTTCAAACAATACCTCAGGAACCCGCCCAAGCTGGTCACCCCTCACGACAGGTGAGCGGGTCTGGGGGTGGGGCAGCTCCCGGGCCCCAGGCCGGAACTGAGAGAGCGAGTCTGCCCCACTGCCCACACTCGAGCTCAGAGGGGGTCGGGGCATGGAACCTGTGTGCCCGCGGCCATCGGGAGAATGCGTCCTGCCTGCTGCAGGCCGGTTCCTCCTCTCACGTGCCAGACTCCACGCCCCCACCGTCCCTGCCTGCGTGGACCTTTCTATCCCCAGCCACCTTGGTGCCAGTGCGCTTCTCTTTTCTTGCCCGTTTGGCCGTCCTTGGTTTTTCATTTTCCTGCCCGTGGAAGCCATCAGGAATTTGGGGTGCGGGAGGGTGTTTTATTCCCACGATCTCTACCTTTCCTTCCTGCCTTAGGCTGGTAGCTATTGAGTGTTTGGAGGAGATTAAACTAGTCTGGATCGTATCTTTTCCTGCTTCCCTGTGCCTCCCCTCCCTCTCGGGAGACAGCATAACAACCAAGGGTGTGAACTTTAGGGTCAAATCCGATTCTGTGGCTCTGCTCCACCACCGTGCGATTGTGAAGCCGCGGGCAGATGCTCCGGCTCTGACCCGCTCCGGCTCTGACCCGCCTCTCTCGTCTCTAACGTTGGAGAAGGAAGTAATAGCTACTTACAGGGCCCCCGGGAGGGTGGTGCGGCTGTGTGTAGAAAACAGCTGGCCTTGGGCCCACCCCGCAGGCAGCGCCCAGCCCGTGGCCACCGTCTGTGCCCTCCCTCTCTCCTGCCCCTCTCAGGATGGCTGGTTTTGATGGCTCGGCTTGGGACGAGGAGGAGGAAGAGCCACCTGACCACCAGTACTATAATGACTTCCCGGGGAAGGAGCCGCCTCTCGGGGGAGTGGTGGACATGAGGCTTCGGGAAGGAGCTCCCCCCGGGGCTGCTCGACCCACTCCACCCGGGGTGCAGACCCCCAGCCACCTGGGAGCAACGCTGGTAAGTGGCTCGGAAGGAGGTGGGCTGGGCCCGGGTTGGCAGTAGCAGGTTTGGGCTTCTGGTAACGTCTTGTTTTTGTCCCCGCAGCCTGTGGGGCAGCCTGTTGGGGGAGACCCAGAAATTCGCAAACAGATGCCACCTCCACCGCCCTGCCCAGGTGTGAAGGGAGCCGGGGCGGTGGGGAGGGGGTGCGGAGTCGGGGTGCAGGAGGCTGGACTGGGGTCACTGTGAAACCTCCCTCTCCTCAGCAGGTAGGGAGCTCTTCGACGATCCTTCCTACGTCAACGTCCAGAACCTAGACAAGGCCCGGCAAGCAGGGGGTGGGGCCGGGCCCCCCAATCCTGCCATCAATGGCAGCGCGCCCCGAGACCTCTTTGACATGAGTGAGTGCTCCCCTCTCCTCTCTGCATGGCTGTCTTCCCACTTGGCTCCTCTTCTTCTGCCCTGCGCCTTCCTCCCCGGAGGTCTGGGTCCTGGCGTGTGTCGTGCCCCCTGCCTTTCTTAGCCTTCTCTTTGCACCCCCAGAGCCCTTCGAGGATGCCCTTCGCGTGCCTCCACCTCCCCAGTCAGTGGCCATGGCCGAGCAGCTGCGAGGGGAGCCCTGGTTCCACGGGAAGCTGAGCCGGCGGGAGGCCGAGGCCCTGCTGCAGCTCAACGGCGACTTCCTGGTGCGGGAAAGCACGACCACGCCGGGCCAGTACGTGCTCACCGGCCTGCAGAGTGGGCAGCCCAAGCACCTGCTCCTGGTGGACCCGGAGGGCGTGGTGAGTGGTGGGGGTAGGCGGGAGGCCGCGGCCCCCTCCTTCCCTCACTGCTTCCTACTGTCCCTGCTTGGGGTTTGTGCGCAGGCACCCCTCTCCAGCAGTCCAGGTTCCTTCCCTCACACCCCCGGGCCTGAGCTCTGTTCCTTTCAGCCCGCAAAGCCCCAGCCCCCTAGCCCATCTGGGCAGGAAGGTGTTCTTCTTGCCTGAGCCCCTCTTTTAACAAATGAGGAAACCGTCCTGGAGAGGAGCCGCCCCCGGTCCTCCAGACTCAGGGCTCAGACCAGTGTCCTGTTGTGTCTCTGCACTGCCCCCACTGCCCCTCATAACTTTGGGCTCTTTTCTAGAGCAGTCTCTGTCTCGTTTCCCTGTCTTTTCTGCACTGCGTGTCGCCTCCCGGGTCAGAAGAGGAGTAGATAGCCCTCAGTGTCACAGTTCCTGGGCAGACGTCCCCTCTGCCTTTTCCCAGTTCACTGAGCTGTCTGTTCCCGGGGCCAGCTCCGGATTCTCCTTCTCAAGAAGCTTCAGTGATCAGGACTGACAATCCTCCCATCCCGCCATCCTTTTCTCCTTCAACCCTCTTGAATATTCCGGCTTCCTCAGCCTTGGGGGCTGAGGTCTTACTTCGACTCTTCACCTGCATTGACCTTCTTCCTTTACACTCACCAGGTTCGGACAAAGGATCACCGCTTTGAGAGCGTCAGCCACCTCATCAGCTACCATGTGGACAATCACTTGCCCATCATCTCTGCGGGCAGTGAACTATGTCTCCAGCAGCCTGTGGAGCGGAAGCTGTGATCCAGCAAAGTGCTTTCTCCCCGAAGGGGCCCTCTCACCCCTTCCACCCTGTTCCTTGATTCTCAGGACTTCACTTGGGAGTGTTTTGTGGGCTGGGCCTTGTGTTGGAGCTGGGAGTAGTGTGGACACGGTTCAGCATCGGCTGAATGAGAGGTTTTGTCGGAAGCCTGGGGTAGAATCCCGCTTCTCCCCGAACCTTACCAAAGTATTAATGTACAGAGTAGCCCCTTCCCTGGGCCTCTCCTGTGCCAATCTGATACCCCCTTCCCCAAGAAGGTGGGTGCTTGAGGCCTGGGCAGCGTGCCTCCTTGAAATGAGAAAAGCCTAATGGGGCAATCACCTTTCTAGGGAAGGGGGAACGAATCACACCTTTGGTCTACCCTTGGGCTCAGATCCCTCTCAACAACTCTCCCTCCCAGTGGTTAAACTTTGTGCCTTTGACCATCTCCTAGGTCTGAAGAGATTTTATGCAAAGAGTTCTTGAGCCCCTGAGGTCGAGGATGGGAGTGCTGACACCTTGGCTTCGGGGACCCTGTCCTCTCCTTGCTCAGCACCCACTCCACCTCCACCCCAGTGTAGGTTGGGAGAGCAGAAGCAGGAATGGCAGCTGGCCCCTGTCCCTGGGGAAAATGCAACCCTTAGAGATTGCCTCAGAGCCCCCCTCTCCCTGGCCAGTGGGGAGATGGACCCCTCCCTTGCTCAGTGCCTCCTGGCCAGGGGGGGGCCCCTCACCCAAGGGCTCTGTATATACATTTTGTAAGTCCCTCCCCCACCTCCCAATTTGCATGCATGTTATACTCTACAGCCAAAGCGTCGCCCTCCCTCTGTCCTGCAGCCTCTTCCCTGCCTCTTGCTGGGGGGGGTGGGG